AATGACTCCGTTGTCAGCTCCGGAAAGCCTCCAGTGCCAAAACTGTAGGCTGCCTACTTTTGAAAAGGTCGCTGAGCGGTTTAGGTTACCCGTATATTAACTTTCACTCACATGACCATTTACATACTGCCAGACATTTGACGTTAGAAAACAATATGATATGCAGTCAGTTGTTTTCTAATTGTACACTATACATTTGCGATTTCCTTTCGCAGTAAACGGCCCTTTCCCACTAAATCTTCCCATGTTAATGTATTCACTTCATGGGGTTGTAATCATCTGCGGTTTCTGAAGGCTGTTAGCCAAAATCTGACCATCCGATTTTAAAAACTTCCTGCACTCTCCAGTACTCAGCTTCAGTGAACTTTCATCATGGATGCATAGTGCACGGTTTTCAGCTTTCAGTTCAAAATTTAGCACACAATTGCATGAGGTATTTTGCTTAAAATAATGAGTCACTGTGATGTTTTATTACACTGGGTCAGACGCGCCTAAGCGAAGAGGTTTTATTGCAATGCAGTCCGCATCGAACGTTTAATTGGAAAGGGTATTTACCCTGTTGCTTTTGTAAATTATAACTCCCCCTAACAGTTATCTAGTGTCGTTTTTGTCATGCATATTTGATTATCGTCATTGGTTCGCTATTCACTTTAGAACACGTTGACAGACCGGTCAAAAATGTCCGCTCAATTATATCCAAATTTAGTGGTAAGGGCTCCATGACTAGTCAATTTGAATAGAAGATGCCGATGTAGTCGTACACATACCAGTTTGTGTATTCTAAGAAAACTCTTCTTCCGTCAAATTGGCGTTTTTTCTGACCATAGAACCCATACGGACTAGAATCTATAGATTCTAGTGCCTATACGTATACGTAGATTCTAAGGGCACGCAAAGTGAATACTTTGTGATTTCCATTAGTTTGGATCGCTTGTCCATAAATATAGGTGCTGTACCCTCTCTGTATAGCCAAGCCTTCGAAACAAATGTTTCTGAAAAGCATTTAACAAAGTAGAAAGCGAATGGGCATTCTATTTAATGTCGATGGCACTTTGGGTTACATTTGAGGACCAGCCTCAGCGTGCAACCTTATTGTCGAAAAAATGAACATGTACAAAAAAGTCAACGGCAGATGTATGTTCAACAAAGTAAAAATATTTATCGAATAGGTAATTTGTTTATCATGGAATTTTGCTTGAAACTGTAGTAACCTAGATTTCTGTTTACTTTTCTAATTATTTTGACTGATAAAATAAGCCTAAGAAGTTTACTTTATATTAAAAGGACATTTTCCGACACGGGTTGGGTGATTAAGTAAAATATCCAACGTTTTAGTTGTCTAAAATGGATCATCTTTATTTCGTCATTACATTTCAGCAGGTAGGTCACAAACTGTATCTGAAGGCATAGCTGCCTTTCCGGCGTAAACTTGTAATGCCATCTGCCAACATTAAACAGCAATTGGAAGCTGCCAGTAGTCGATCAGCCCGTGCACCGGTGACCGGAATCATATAGCCCCCTGAACGAGTGCGTGGAAGAGTCAGGTTTAGCAAAAAAGATTCGGTCGATGGAATTCCCTGCCAGAGCGTATTCATGGAATGGTGAATATTGCTTTCTCTAAAACGTTGGACG